TCACTCTCCAAAGGACAATATAGTTTAGTTATATATCGACCTTGGCTAAACAAATTATATTAATATTTCCTATGTATATATTTTAATTTATTTATTTTGGGATCTTGCATTTTTGAGATATAAGATATAGTAGTACGTAGTTCGAACACTAAATAAATTATTAATCTACACTTTTTAAAGTAAATTATTAATTAATTCAAGTGATCCATAAGTAGTGGGCACAAAACCTTAGGGTTATTGAGCCATAGAAAGATGTTTTTATAAGAAAAACAAAGTATTGTTATCTTGGTTTGCACTAAGTTTGATCATCACAATTATTGGTTGATCAAAAATCCAATTGACAACTACGTTGATATTTAGGTAAAGTATTAATATATATATATATATATATATATAAATGGTTTGGATCGATCGGTTGAGACTACTAGATTCGATATTTTTAGTTGAGGATATAATAGGGGGAAATACAATATGAAGAATTCAAAGTTCCACCAACAAGATGAATAATCAGGTAGTGAATCAACTAATTTATGATGATTTCTCAGAAACAACAAGTAGCTCGAGCTCTTACAAAATATGGATGAATGTGCATTGGATCCTCCATAATAATGTAATTTGGAAGAGTCCTAAAAAGCAACATATATGATTTGAAGGGAAATTAACTTACGGAATTTCCACTAGTTTAGGAGCTACTTACTACAGTCTACTTTGCAATATTACGAATCATATAAGATTTTAGTGCGTCTAGATACATGTATCCTAAGATACATGAGAACAAATTAGGTGTAATTTGTTCTAGATACAGTGTATCTCAATGGATTCGCATGTACTTGGTATACATAGACAAATCTCACTCACCTCTTTCTCATCTCGTCCTTCACTCTCCTATGTATCTAGCATCTCAAATATATGTGAATCACGTCAAATACATATATCTCATTCACCTCCTTCTCATCTCGCATGCCTCTCTCTATAGTTTAGTGCATCGAGTAACAAAAATATATATATATATTTAAGTGTATCTTTCTTCAATATATAATAGAAACCTCTTAATTAGTGGTTGAATATATAATTACTTTAAACTACATAAGTATATATATGGATATATGTCCATTAAAATGTTTTTCCTTGTTAAAAACCTTGAATCTTTTTATTGGTTTGTTGAAATTTCTAAAAATTTATTGGTTAGAAAGAGATATATCATGAGCACTTATGTATCTCCTTCTTATATTATTAATTATTATTACATCCACTAATATACTGTTTCAATCTCTCCCTTAGCTCAGGATCACCAAACCCTAATTCCATTTGCCCCACCCTCCCACCTCTAAAGATTCTCAATAATTCTTCAATTCTACTTTCCACTTGTCCAATTTGATCTTGAATCAATGTTATTCAATGAACTTCATACTGTTAATTTATTGAGTATAGATGCCGCTTCGTGATTTGAAATTTATTGATTCTAAATTTGAACTTACGGTACAGGGGTGGAGCCAGAATTTAAAGTTTATTTAGGATTCTGAGTTTAAATTCAGGAGAAGAGGCGAAATTAAGGTTTAATGTTAATATATGGGTTCTAAACTTAACTAAGTTTAGGAGCAAAGACAGAGTTTACGATTTTAAATTTATATATTCAAAATTTTAGCTTTTTAAGTTTAAGTTCTAAATTAATGATTTATATGCATTCAATAAATTACTTATGACAAATATAGGATGTGGATCAAAGTTATTGAATTAGGCGGAAAATGTAACCAAAATCCTTGTTTATGGCTTACTAAAGTTTATTATATATACATATCGAGTAAATTTTTGGACAAGTGTATATAATTAACATTCGATAAAAACTTATTAAATTCTGTCAAACTTGTACGCTCCACCTAGATTGAGGATGGAGAAAACATGTCCTCCTCCTCCATCATCTTCATGTATAGATAAAGACCTTAAATTTCCTATCTTGATTGTCCACTTTTTCCAACTTTCCATCTCAAAAGAGACAATTTGTCTCAAAATTAGTAAAATGGTCTATAATATCTTTTTTAAGTGATCTCAACACTATCTACTATATCATTAAATCTTTGTTAATTACAACATTAATACTATCTCAAATATCAATGATTAATGGTGTGTGTGAATTATGTCACATTGACATGTCCAAGAAACAAAACAATGAGAGTGATAAAAAAAAATAAGCATGTTTGACCTTCTTACGAATTGAACGATTTAAATATAACATACGCTGTATATAGGATTCTCATGATGCATATAATAAGTCTTTATATATATAAGTGATATTATGATCCACATTACACATAGCACAAATTTAAAATAGATATATTATTAAATGATCTTTATTATTTTATCGATACGAAATTTGCCTAGATTATTATATTATTGGGATATTGAGTGGGGAACATTGGTATTGCATTTAATATGTTTATAAGGCTAGTAAAGAAAAGTTAAAAAGGCATTTGAGTATATATGTTTTTAGTGGTTGCTTTATTGAGACCTTCGATAGGGACATTAGACATTACCACAAAGCCAAAAACATTGATGAAAATTAAAATAGTGAGAGACCACTTCAATAATATTATAATAAGTATATAAAATATAGTCAATTAAATATATCCACACATTGCTTTTTTAGTGGATGGTTCTATTTATTTAGAAATATAATACGTTTCTTAAAAGATTCAATGATTTGAGAACATAATTTTACTATTTTTTGAGTTCTTTTACGACTCTATATATCGATTATAATATAGTATATGTAGATCTTTTAAGTCATATTATATATTTGTATTAGTAGCATTTTTTATTAATTAGTTTTGGGTAAATTCATACTAAATATATATGGATTAGCTTGCTTTGTTACTTAGTAAACGATAATATAGTTCTATAAATAATTAATTATAACATCGTTTTGACATGAAGGGGTATCAAAAGCACACATTTTAATTGATTAACTGAAAATTAAACATATTGAATCGTATATCACATAAATCAAGATAAAATTTATTAATAATTTAAAGATTAAACTATTATTATCCCCGTATAATATTTTAGGACATAGTATTATATTATAATTTATATGTCAAGATTTAAGAAAAATATTTTAAAAAGGTCCCACAGTTTGAATCTTTGACCAATGATTTGGAGTATTTATGGACTTAATGAATCATAAGCCACATACTATCTTAATAATGAATAATTCTCCAATTACAGAAATAGAAACCACTAAAAAAAGTTTTGGTTATTTAAAATAATAATTAAAAAAGGACACATAGTGTAAACACTAATAGTGCTGAAGTCATAAAATTAGTTAAAGCATTTATATAGAAAAAAATAATATTGTCTTGTCCCAACTGATATATAGTAAAGTTGCAAGAGGTCAACCGAATTTAATTTCAATATTTTTCATTCAAAATCACATTATAACAAAAACAATATATTCATTACAAAGTAAAATATCGCGAGTGAAATCTAAAAAGGATAAAGAGCACGTGGATCTTGAAAGTGCAAGTCACATTAATCATTATAATCTCATGAGTAAAATCTGAGAGATCATCTTCAATAGACCCTCGACTTCAAAATCATATTAGTAGTTGTAAAATATGTGGCGGGCAAAAAAGGTGGAGGTTTATTTGGAGCAATCCGTCAAGCTTTTACTGGACTTGATAGACACCGACTCGTTATCCTTCCACTACACAGAGCGGGAGCTGTTTACTGCTCTATGAAGCCAGCCTCGTGCGATCCGCCCCACTTTAGGAATCAAGAAGCCCATACTTACATTTGGGCCTCATTATCCAACACTGTGCTTGGATAGGGCAGGCCAGAAATAAGCCCATCAAGCCCAACCATTTGGTTAAGCCCAATATTCTACCACCTTAATGCCGGGTTACAAGCCCACGTTACTAAGCTCGACGTGCAACAAAGTGTCATAGATTATTATAAATTCATTAACATATGGCGATGTGGGAAAAATTATAAATTCCATGAGAGGCAATAAAGAGAGTTATATTTAGTTTAATGTTGCACCATTTCTTACTTTATTTTCATTTTGTACGAATTGTACGTTTCATATAATTGCTTATTTCTTGTATTTTGCTTTCATACTTAAATTTTGTGATGTTATACTTGAGTTGAGGGCTTATTGGAAAGAGGTTTTTTGTCCTCACTAAGTAAAGATTAGATTGCGTACACATTAATATTATCAAACTTCACTTGTGAAATTACATTGAGTGTGTCGTTGTTGTATTTTATCTTGTACGACAATGGCATGAGTTGAGTTTAATGAAGTGACGAGAATTCATATAGCCGATCCCAACTTATTTAAAATTGAGGGACCAAATTCCGTTAATATTTCCCATGTTAAATTCGTGTTTTGAATCATTTCTTGCTTCGTTGTAGAAAGAAGAAAACTTATATATTTGTTTTGTGATTTTGAGACATAAGAAAACTTATATATTTGTTTTGTGATTTTGAGGCATAAGATCTAATAATATTAACTTCTTTTAAATGACAATACTTTTGTTGTGCTTCATGATTTACATCCCAACAACCTATGTGGTTTGAATGAGTCATTTTCTTCGTTCTTAATCAAAGATCTCAAATTTGAATCACATGTATAAAGAATTCAAATTATCAATCTTTTTACAAGGATTTCGTACTCAATATATATATATATATGTGTGTGTGTGTGCATAAAATAACGGAATAAGTAAGAACTTACAATATAATTTTCGATTGCACTGATGAAAATATTGTGTGAAAATCCTGATTAGGCTGTATAAAGAATTCAAATTATCAACCTTTTTACAAGGATTTCGTATTCAATATATATATATATATATATGCATAAAATAACGGAATAATTAAGAACTTACAATATAAAGATTTCGTACTCAATATATATGCATAAAATAACGGAATACTTAAAAACTTACAATATAATTTTCGATTGCACTGATGAAAATATTGTGTGAAAATCCTAATTAGGCAAAAAAAGGTGGTTGTTTATTGGAGCAACCCATTAGGCGTTACTGAACTTGATAAGACACCGACCCATTATCCTTCCACTGCACAGAGCGGGAGCTGTTCACTGCTCTGTGAAGCCAGCCTCATGCGGTCCGCCCCGCTTTAGGAATCAAGAAGCCCATATTTTCATTTGGGCCTCGTGATCCTACTCTGTGCTTGGACAGGGCAGGCCAGAACTAAGCCCACCAAGCCCAACCTTCTGGTAAAGCCCAATATTCAACCACTTTGATGTCTCCACTTGGATTACAAGCCCACGTTACTAAGCTCAACATACAACATAATATTATACATTATTATAAAGGAGACAAATTCATTGTTATATGACGATGTGGGAAAACTTGTTCATTCTATGAAAAGAACAAATATTGTATGGTATAACAATTCATAGATACATAACCATTTATACTTCTTTTTAAATTCATCAACGATAATTTCTCGCTTTTTTCCATCGAGGTAATTATGCATTTCTTCATCTTTATAATTTGTATCAAGTATTTTTGTTTTTAATCTTATGTTTTTTTAGTATGTTCGCACATCTATCTCAACACTCTTCTTTTCACTTTTCTCATTCTTCGAATATAAGCTAAAGAGTTTTTCGTATTCAATATATATATATATATATGCATAAAATAACGGAATAATTAAGAACTTACAATATAATTTTCGATTGCACTGATGAAAATATTGTGTGAAAATCCTGATTAGGCTGTATAAAGAATTCAAATTATCAACCTTTTTACAAAGATTTCGTACTCAATATATATGCATAAAATAACGGAATACTTAAGAACTTACAATATAATTTTCGATTGCACTGATGAAAATATTGTGTGAAAATCCTAATTAGGCAAAAAAAGATTTCGTACTCAATATATATGCATAAAATAACGGAATACTTAAAAACTTACAATATAATTTTCGATTGCACTGATGAAAATATTGTGTGAAAATCCTAATTAGGCAAAAAAAAGGTGGTTGTTTATTGGAGCAACCCATTAGGCGTTACTGAACTTGATAAGACACCGACCCATTATCCTTCCACTGCACAGAGCGGGAGCTGTTCACTGCTCTGTGAAGCCAGCCTCATGCGGTCCGCCCCGCTTTAGGAATCAAGAAGCCCATATTTTCATTTGGGCCTCGTGATCCTACTCTGTGCTTGGACAGGGCAGGCCAGAACTAAGCCCACCAAGCCCAACCTTCTGGTAAAGCCCAATATTCAACCACTTTGATGTCTCCACTTGGATTACAAGCCCACGTTACTAAGCTCAACATACAACATAATATTATACATTATTATAAAGGAGACAAATTCATTGTTATATGACGATGTGGGAAAACTTGTTCATTCTATGAAAAGAACAAATATTGTATGGTATAACAATTCATAGATACATAACCATTTATACTTCTTTTTAAATTCATCAACGATAATTTCTCGCTTTTTTCCATCGAGGTAATTATGCATTTCTTCATCTTTATAATTTGTATCAAGTATTTTTGTTTTTAATCTTATGTTTTTTTAGTATGTTCGCACATCTATCTCAACACTCTTCTTTTCACTTTTCTCATTCTTCGAATATAAGCTAAAGAGTTTTTAATCGTTCATTACGTTGTCCAATACAACATAATCAATCCCACTATTACTCTATTGATCTTACTTTCTAAAGTTTCGATAAGACATTCTTACCAAATTTATTTTATAAATAGAATTTGATTTTTTTATGTTAAATTATTTTGGGAAACGTACATAAATATGGTATATTCAGAAAATATTTATCATTTATAGAGATAATATTTTTTTATTACTTGATCACTTTTAATACATTTATTATACTTATTTATTGCATAAATAATTTATCTTTCATATGTATTACAGATTTAACATAACATTCGTATAAATGATGACAAATAAAAAATATTACTAAAATTAATAATTATTTATTAAAAGTAATTTTTTAAATTATAATTATTTTTATGGTAGTTTAAATCCTTTTTACTATATCTCAAAACCCAAGGTATACTCAAAAATTAGCTGACAACAGTACAATCTCCTTCATCGGCGGCACAACCTGTTGCTTATCTCCGATCTACTCCGGCGAACGGCGAAATTCGAGCTGTAAGTTCAATACATATATACATATAATAATAAAGTTTTCATCTTTTTATGTTTTAACAAACCCTAGTCCTTAATTCTTTGTTCCATGATTTTTAATGGTAGAACTATCAAATTGTGAAAGGTTTTTGTTCTTTTTTGTAATGCTTTGGTGGGTGGTTAGGTGGTGGGTGGGTTGAATCAGCTCTGGAAACTGTATAATTCAACAATAACAATAATATACCCAAAAGTGTAGTTCCACGAGCGGGGTCTGGAGAGGGTAGGATGTATGGAGACGTATCATCTACCTTTGTAGGGTAGAGATTATAAGGTCTGTTTCTGATAGATGCTCGACTCGAAAGAAGACTGTCTAATTCAGTATTTTGAAGTAAAACTGAAAAGCTCAAATAAAGAGGCAATGGTTCTGGGTCTTTAATCCAGAAATAAGCAGCATAACAAACTATTGTACGAAGCGAAGTGCACAATTTGTAATGCGAAATTATCTTATGTGTAGGATTGAGTACCTATTTTAACATTTTCACTGATCAATTGTAAAATTGATATATATCCATTTGTTGATTGATAATCAATAAAAAAAGTTAATTTGTTGTCATTAGTTTGGTAACTTTGGTTATAATGAACTTCAATAGCTAGGGTCATCTTTTTATTTTCCAACATCTGCCTGTAAATAGGAACAAAACAGACGAATACGCAAGAAAAAAGAAATGTTGACAGGAAGAGTATAAGAGAGAAGTGACGAGAAGTCAATATCGCAAGTATCAACTTGAACACAGAAATACAAAGAGTCATTTGGATGTTCCTTTTTGCTGTAATTTGGATGTAATTGCAGCAACTTCATGGTGCTGATTTTTAACATCTTTAACAGTTACCATTATAAAAAAAGAAGGAAAGAAGCAAATTAAGAGAATTCAAGAAACATGAGTTGAAGAAAATTGAATGCAACTTATAGAAGTGTAAGACAAGGAAAGAACATTGAAATGTAGCTTTAAGAGGACTAGTCCTAGTACCAATAGCATAAGAATTGTATTTGATGGGAAGAGTATGGATTTCATTTACTTTACATTCGTTATTGGCTGCAAAATTGTGCAATGTACTACTCTCTTTTGAGGATAATAAGTGGTCGCTTTTCTAACATTTTTATCATAGAGAAGATAAAAATAAAATTAGACCATTAAATGTGAATGTGTAAATTTCAAGTCATGTAAATTTCCTTATACATCCACTATTATGTGAGTATTTTGTGAATTGGGTGAGGTTTTAGCTTATTTAATGTGACAGGTTTTGAAGTTGTGCAAATGTTATTGTGATTAATGTTTATCTTGTTGACCTTATTAAATTGATGTAGTTTCTCTAGATTTTGGGTTTAAGCGTTTTTTTTTTTGTGCTGAAACAAAGTCAGTGAATTTCATCTAAGATAAAGCTATGTCTTAATCAGATGGAGAATCTAAACGGCTTAGTTCCTGACATCCCTATACAAGAGCAGAAAGACAATGCTACTGCTTCTGAAAATTTCGGTCGAAGTGTTGATGAAATGGTTGGGAAGGTTGATCAGGTAACTTGGTGCTGAGGAAAATTGTATACTTGGTTGTGGTATGCTAGTTGGCATCCAAATGGATAGTAAATCTGTTCAAACATTCTTTGAGATTGTCCTTTACTATTGTACTTTACATTGTTGTTTTTTCATATTATCATATTGTTTGTCTACATGATCTTAACACGCTATTTTTAGCTTATTTGTAGCGTGTTATCTCTGATAAATTATTAATATATATTTAATAAAATAACTGTTATTTCTATGTTATTAAAATTTTGTATAATGTTAGCCTGATCCATATAGCCGAACTTGTTGATGTACAAGTTGTTGTTTTAGATGATACACAATTAACAATTCAGAAAAATGAAACGCGATTCAAATTGTCCACTTGATAGAAGTGTTCATTCTGATTGACATTATGGTTGCCTGTAGTATGTACAATTTTTTATGTGCAAAAGCTGCATTTCTTATAGGAGAAAGTGTACGGCAAAGAGATTATTCATTGCATCTCTCGAGTTCCTTTTTACTTCAAGAAAATTGAGAAAAAAGAACATTCAGAACATTCTTTTGATAGTATGCTCCACGCAAGAAGATACACTTGGGTACTCACCAAGATTCTTTGGCAAGAGCGTGCAAAATGAAGATATAGGATTTTTGCTTTATAGTTTACTTTTTCTTGTTTCTATTTTTTTTTCTTTCAATCTTAGGCAGGAAAAGGCTGCTTGTTAAGCTAAATTCTTTCATAAGTGATCACCTCATAGCTTCACTCTTAATTCTCTTTGACAAATTATTTCTGTTAAAAAGCTTTTGCCCATAGTTCATAAAAAATACAGCAGATGTTATTTCTTTTGGCATTGTTACTCTCATCAAACTATTTCTGTTTTACCAGCGCACAAACTGTATATTACCCAGAATTTGCAATATAAAAGATATTATCTCTCAGCATCTATGCGCTGATAGCTCATGTATTTCTGCTTTCATGATTTGCTCTTAAATATAATCTGGTCACAAGTTTGTTACATCAACAGATTGAGCAGAGACTGAATGAGGTTGAGCATTTCTATTCCAATACTAGTAAAAAACAATCAAACACGCCAAGAGGTGGCTCTATTCTGAAAGACAAAGAGAAACAGATGTCTAGCTTTAGAAGGCGGCAGCAGGATGCATCACGTAGAGAAGCAGCTGGTTCCAGGAGAATGCAAGAACTTATGCGCCAATTTGGTACTATATTACGTCAGGTAATCTCATTATTTTTTCCGTGCCTTGACACCTTTTTGCCTGTCTAAAGCTTGTGTGCTACTAAATTGTAACTGCTGTGATCCTTCAAACTTCTAGCAATAGATGTAATTATTTTGTAACCTGAAGCAGTACTGCAAAGAACGCGAGAAAAGGTTTGAGTAAATACTAAATAGTGGTACATGCTGAATTTGCAGAACAGAATTTTTTCTGATAAACATTGAAGCTTCTGATAAGTGTTGAAGAGATCTAAATACGGTTAAGCTAGTATTTTTTTAGTCATTGTGATTTCCTGTTACCTGTAAGAGTATACAAAGTTTCGAAATGCCTCATGTCAGTTGCTCACTTTTTGGTACCGATGATGTTTTACTCTTTTTACTTTTTATA